CTGGGAGTTGAAGTCCACACATCTTCAAGTGGCCAAGGTTGAGAAACACTGGTCTAAACTGTACGGCTGGCATTCAAACTAAGGGTTTTTTTTAATTGGAACCCGAAAGTGCTGTCTCCGCATGGTATGTATTGCTCTAACTTCATAGCTCTAGGACGGTCCACTTCCAGGCATTTCAGGTCTTAGGGCGACCCCCTTCGGCGATCTTTCGTCCCGGAAGTGTGGCAGCCCCCGGAGTCGTTCCAGCCGCCACCGTCTCTATGAGCGCTCCGCCGTTCCAGCCGCCACCCTCTCCATGATCGCTCCACCTCTCCGTCGGCCATGAAGTCCGCCTTCGTTACCGTCGGCACCACCAGCTTCGACGACCTCATTACCGCCGTGACGGCCACCGAAGCGACCCAGGCGAGTCTCCCGACGCCGTCCTTCCTGCTTCCCCGCCTTCTTTTAACCCTCGATCCCCGCCTCAGAGCAAACGGCCGGGCGCCAAAGGGCGGAAGAAGTGAGGCTGCGCTTCAGTGCGTCACTTCCTGTGCCTTTTCTAGGCACCGGTCCGCCGTGTCTCTGTGGTCCCTCGGCGTCCTCTGCGGCTTTCAAAATTCCCTTTCCCGGGAAAAACCCGCGGGGGGGGGGGGCCTCGTGCAGGTCTCCTCCCCGCCGCTCTTTTATTTGGCTCGCTCGGGAGGAAGCCGCCTGAGTTTGCCAGATGAACACAGTGAATTTCAGGGAGGCAGATTGCAAGGGGTCTCTCTCAAAAGGGAGCCCTAGTACGTGCGTGCATGCTGAAAAGTGAGCCCCAGTGCATGCACGCTCAAAAGAGCCCAAGTACGTGCGTGCACGCTCAAAAGTGAGTCCCAGTGTGTCCATGCACGCTCAAAAATGAGCCCAGTGCATGTGTGCAAGCTCAAAAGTGAGTCCCAGTGCATGCACGCTCAAAAGTGAGCCCACATACATGTGTGCATGCTCAAATGTGAGTCCCAGTGCATGTGTGCAAGCTCAAAAGTGAGTCTGTGTGTGTGCGTGCATGCTTAAAAGTGAGCCTCAGTGCATGCACGGTCCAAGTGAGCCCAAGTACATGCGTGCACACTCCGAAGTGAGCCCCAGTGTATTCTTGCATACTCAGCCCTAGTGCATGCACACTCAAAAGTGAGCCCCCTTCTGAGCCTGGATAAGCACTGCATCAATGCCCTGTTAATTGTCCTGCCGGTGCCAGCCAGACTGACACTGCTCAGTGCTGGAAATCAGATTCGTCCCCTCCCTCCCATTGTCTGGTGCCCGGTTCTGTCTGATGGATTAAAGCACCTTCCTTTGGTTCTTCCATGCTGGAAATAACGCACACCAGAGATGAGTGGAGAGTCAAAATATGTTTATTCACCCAAAGCTGTCAAGTTGCTTTGAGTGGGCCGCCGTGCGCACTTCTTGTGTCCCTTTTTTATAGGGTTCTGAAGTTTAGAAATGTAGCCAATGCCTCCTTATTTATAGATAAACAAATGTCTCTTTATCTAGAGCTAAAGCAGAAGTGTTTTAAATGGGCATTTCATCTAGGCAGGTTTTGTTTTTAATGTATAAGATACATGTCTGGCTTTACATAGGTATGCATGGATTTTGCCACATGCTGTCTCTGTTGTTTCTAATGGGAAAGCCAGCTTTTATACAATGGCGTTACTACTGCCTGTACCCTCTTTAAACATATAAAAAAATATTCTAACAGTTCAAATGGTATCAATGGGAAAATCAGAAACGAATATGTGTTGCTTAGGGTTGAGCTGTGGAGTCCTTGGGGGTTCTCTGAGCTTGGTGGTTTTCTTGCAAACGTTTCATTACCCAGCTAGGTAACATCTTCAGGGCTAGAATGGGACGGGGTTTGCTCTCTGTTTGTATACAGTGTCTCGCCCTGCCTGTGTTGGTGGGGTGGGGGTTTTGTTTTGTCCTATTTTTTTCCCTCTGGTAGTTCTTTGATTAGGGTATTGTTTGCTGCTTCACTGCATGTCTGGTGATAATCTTGGTGTTCATCTCTGCTTATCTGGGTGATGATTGCTGGCAAGGAATGGCACTCCCTTCTAGCCCTGAAGATGTTACCTAGCCAGGTAATGAAACATTTGCAAGAAAATAACCAAGCTCAGAGAACACCAAGGAATCCACAATGGGAAAATTAACATGTAAAATAAGATGACTAAAGGATAGGCAGTGAAGGGAAAAAAAATCCCCATGACCTAATTTACGAGTAGAGACCACACAATCAGCTTGGGCCAAGTTTATCTGAACAGTGCTGGGGACACACACCACAAGGTTCTGCGCACTGAAGGAGGGGACAAACCACCTTTATATAGTCATATAATAAATGCTGGCCAGTCATGACATCAAATGCCAGTCATAACATGGGTTAGATTTTCTGCTTATAGTGAGATAAGCAGAATAATAAAGTGGAGGTCAGCACTGGTCAGTTTTTGTGGTTAGTTACTTCATAGTTCTCATTTAAAAATACAAGTGCTGATTTAAGGTAACTTGTAAGCCAGCAAGTCCCTAAGCAAGCTATTAAGGAGGCTTATGTGAGTTCAGGGACCTTGGTAGTTTGGAGGTTTGGGTTCAGGTATGAGGTAGTCCTTGACTTATGACCATTTGTTTAGCGGCTGTTCAAAGTTATGACGGCGCTGAAAAAAGTGACCAGTCCACTGTTGCAGCATCCCTGCAGTCACATGATCAAAATTCAGGCATTTGGCAACTGGCAACGGTTGCAGCGTCCTGGGGTCATGTGATCGCCGTTTGCAACCTTCCAGGGGGCTTCCAACAAGCAAAGTCAATGGACGAGGCTGGATTCACTTAATGACCATGGCAAAAAAGGTTGTAAAATTGAGCATGACTCACTGAACGACCGCGTTGCTTAGCAATGGAAGTTCTGGTCCCAATTGTGGTCGTAAGTTGAGGACTACCTGTATTTGTTTTAATCCTTCACTGCTAAGTGTTAAAAATCAGATTTCCCCACTTCCCTCCCTCCCATCTTTTGATGTATGGCTCATATGGTATCAATGGGAAAATTAAAGTGTAAAATAAGATGATTCAAGGATAGGCTGACCCCTGGTGGCGTCCTTTTACCAATGTTATTAGTAAAGATCATCAGCATAGGATTCCGATTCCATATTCGGATCAAATATTTAATCCTAATTTCCTGTACTATGACCATGTTTGTTGATTATCCCTTTTTAGGAATTGTTCTGTTTTTAATATTTTAAACTTTATTAATTAAAAATAGCAAATGAATACATATAAGACATTGCAAAGGGTTAGGGTTAGGGGTTTTTATACATACAAAACACCAATGACATATAACAATATATACGCAAAAGTACGACATAGAACAATATATACATGAAAAAGAAGAAACATAGTAAAGAAGGAAAAATACAGAGAAAGAAAAAAGGAGAAAAGAAAGGGAAAAAAAAGCAGAACATTTTAAAAGTGGGGTCTGAACGGTGAATGTATGTACAAATATGTGATTTTTGCATCTTTACCAAGGCATCGTTTCCTTTTTTGAAAAGTAAAATAAATGTGAAGGAGGCCATCCTATATGCTTTGCAGCTGCCGCTGATGTAAATGCTGGATAGCATGATGAAGTGGAGCGTAGACCTGTGTGCCCTTAGGCAGAGATTAATCCCGCAAAGAGGTGTCGGCTGTGTTTACTGGCTTGTTTAAAATCATCTCTGCCGCCTGTCATGATACATACAGTCAGGCTGGGCCCAGCGTTAGAATGCATTTGGTAAAACTGAAAATGTCGTACAAGTCATAAAAGAGTTGAAATATATGAACCCAGGGCCGTGAGTTGGACTCGGTTCGCTCCATAGGATTTATCCCTAAATGGGCCTGAAGATTTTAACCACGTCACACAAGCAGTAAATCCTTTTGTGGGAATCTCTCCCCTGATAAATGCGTGGTTACCTTAGCTGGGTTATGCAGAGTGTTCGTGGAAGTCAGAGGGGGTCAAAAAGGTCAAGATGGCGGCCATAACTGTGGGATCAAAGCTCCACCTGTTTCTTACTGTATGTCCTCGGGTGGAGTTTTGATCGCAGGACGCAGCCAGCATCTTGACTTTTTTGACCATGTGCTGTGGACATCCCTCGCTGGAGTCTAATTGGACAGTTCAATCTTCAATACAGCTACTCAGAAAGAACCTTTGCAGAGTTCCAAAACTCTTATATCATTTATCTTATGAGTAAATCAAATGACTGTGTCAAGTAATTAGGAAGCTAGAAGTGCAGCTGCCCTCCTGCCCTTATTTCTTCTCTTCTGAGAACTCTACAGCTTCTTCAAATGATTCAGTCTCCGATTTACATTCCACGTTGGCAGCTAAAAGACGATGCCTTGACTCTGATTTAAGCCTGGGGAGTTGATTGACAGCAAGGAAGGCAGGGGACCACCCTGAACTCCACTTTGGATCAGAGGTTGGGGCATGGCATCGCTTTGAGGGGGCTAGCAGCATGGCATTCCCCATGTTTCAGTCTACAGTTCCCATTATGGTTGGCCATTGGCTATGCTGGTAGGGGCTGGTGGAAATTTTTTTTTTTTTTTTTT